ACCTTAGGGACGAACCAGTGAACCGAGGCCAACCGACCGAGGATCTCATCTCAATTCCCCTAGACGAGGTGGAGCCCAAGAAGACGGTATTAGTCGGGTCACACCTCCCTTAGGACACACTTTTCGAACTGGTAAACTTCCTCAAAACTAATGCCGATGTTTTTGCTTGGTCTACCACTGATATGTTAGGAATTGACTCCCCGATCATTACTCATAGGCTAAGCGTGGACGGAAGTTGTTGGCCAGTTCGGCAAAAATAGAGGAACTTTGCATCAGAGCGTTGAAAAACTATTGGAGAGAAGGTGGATAAGCTACTTGACATCGGCTTCATCCAAGAGGTACACTATCCTAAATGGTTGTTTAACATGGTCATGGTTAAAAGAGCTAATGGGAAATGACGCATACGCATTAACTTCACAGATCTCAACAAGGCCTACCCCAAAGACAACTTTTCTTAGTTGAGGGTTGATCGCCTCATTATTGCCACTATAAGGTACGAGTTGTTAAGCTTCATGGATGCTTTCTCTAGGTATGACTAGATCAAGATGCACCCCGGCGGCGAAGAGAAGACCTCATTCATCACCGAGCAGATGATGATGATGCTTTGTAAATTCCTCTTGGAAACAAAAAAAAAAAATGCAAAAATGACGGTATTAGAGAGGTTTCTCCATGGAAAAAATTGTTGAAATCCTAAAAACTAAAAAAGAATAGCACAATACCTCCTCTGGCGATAACCTCCCTTAATGATGACTACAGCGGTTGAGCGGTGAGAGGGGAAAAACTTCAGCGATAGAGAAAAAATATGTGCAGTAAACCCTACTTACCATTGGGGTTGACATTCCGGTGGGCCGAGAAGCACTGGAAAACTCAGCAGACAGCTAGGATGCCATGTAAGCACCACCCCATTTGGTGTTTAGGGGCAACAGCTTGCTGATGCATGAAACGTCAAATCATGCAACGGGAGGACACTATTTTACAAGGCAAAAACGTTTTCACCGTTTTTTCAAAAATCGCTTGAACTAAACAGTATGGTAGGCCTTAAAAATTGGAATCTTTGACAAGGCTCTGACATGGCACTGCTTTTCAAAAAAAAATGCCCACGATAAACATCCTCTAAGTAACAGGGCAATATCACAATGCGAGTGAAGGTTGTGGCCGGTGCCTGCGTTGATCAGTGAGTCACCCTCGACCTTCTTGTTTGGGCGAAACACCTAATGTGCCACTAGCGGGATGTCATCCCATGGGTCCAAGGAGTGAGGCCCTGACTGTCGAGATCCTCTTATGATGCACTCAGCCCTGCAGTCCCTCACCACAAATTTCTTCACCCTCGGGTCTTGAGGGGCATCGGCTAACTGTTTGGGAGTGGCCTCCTTCCTCTTCTCAGCCTCGGCATTCCCCTTTGGCCTAGGTGGTTCCCTCTTGCTCAGCCTACGTGAAGGCCCCTTAGTCGGGCCCTTCCTGCACTTTGCCTTCGCTGCCTGCAGAAGTCTCTCCTTCAAGCTGTTGTCCATCTCTACAACCAAGGAAGATGACCAACGTTAGAAGAAAGGCAATGAACATTAAATAAGCGACACAACTAGACGACAATAGGAGTGCCCATACCAAGGGGGGCAGGACTGAGGACAACTAACACCAAGGCCTCCTCCATCACTAAGGGTCCGACATGAATCATCCCAGTCAGCCGAATTTGATTCATCACGGCCGACTCCTCCTCGCTGTTGTACGACTTAATCCTCTTGGCCAACAAGTCTGGCATTCCTTAGTCAGATTGGAAGGACCATCCTTGTGGACAACTAATGAAGAAAAACTTCTTCTTCTAGTTGTGGATGGAAGTACCACAAACCTTCCCCGTCAGGATGCTTCCTTAATGTGAATAGACCTCAAAAGACTTTCAGGGTCACAGACACATCTTGGAGGCGAGCCATCACCAACACGACCACTATGGTCCTAATGGTGTTTGGAGCAAGTTGGCTAAGGGAAATGTTGTAGTAGTTAAGGATTTCTAGGATGAGAGGAGGCAAGGGAAAATGAAGGCTGAAGTGGAGGTAGTGCTCATGCACACACACCTCCCCCTCGGTGAGCTACCATGGCTTGTCACCTATGTAGGGGACTAACCTTATAACCCCATGGGAGCTGATACTTCTTAGACAGATCCCTCACTTGCTCTTTGCTGAGCTCACTATCAAAGTCGGAGCGGGGGTGATGCACCAATGTCACGCCTCGACGTTCAGCCTCAGCCCACTCCTCGGGAGTAGGTTCTTTAGCCTCCTCTGGCTCCACCACTTCAAGAAGCTCAGGGGCATTCCCGGTGACATTGGTCCTCGGTCTCGTGGAGCCAATACTTTCATCGGGAGAGTCCATGCCCCATTGGTCGTGCTTGGCTCGCCATGGGGTGGTCCTCTCCCTTAGTACCTGGACGCTAGACACCCGAGGGGAGCTCTCAGAGTCACTACTGTCACTCCCACTACTATTCGAGGTGGAAGAAGTGCTGCTAGGGTCACACCGGTTGGGAAGGGCATAACACTCAGGTCTAGAGTCTAAGGTTGACATATAGAAGATGGGAGTTCTTTACCTAGTGTCTGTTCAAGGAAATAAGGCTTAAGGAATTTGTTGTTGGTAGCCAAGGTCTCTGTGATCACAGGTAAAGACTCAAGGTTCAAGCAAATGTGAGGCTTAGGGAATTCGTTGTTGGTAGCCAAGGTCTCTGTGATCACAGGTAAAGACTCAAGGTTCGAGCAAATGTGAAGATTCACTCAACCAGCGTCCCTATTTAAAGGAAAGCGTACGACTTAGATCTCTTTGATCAAACGACCATAGACTAATTGATCTGATAGCCTGACCTAGGGAAGATGAAATGATGTCGAAGGAATGAGTCGGTTCTCCTGTTAGCTCCGGGTCAAGAACAACCCAAATCGGACACCCCTCCACACCGTTTCGGGCATAGCCTCGACCATTTAGCACCGATGCCCATCCAACGTATGGACTTGCATCAGATGACGTCAACACCCGTACGAGGCACGACTGATGAATGCGGATGTCCCACACCTGTGCTGGCCACGATCACGTGTTCTGAGCCCATAACGATCCTCCACTAAGACGGGGAACGAATAGAGAAGCAATCCCCACATAATCGCCAAGGAGAGCCCTTTGTAGCCGAGGTCGATGCCTTCAGGCAACTCCATGGTACTCTCTTCGGCCGAAGCCGAGGTCTCCGCACGGCACGCCATCCGACCTCACCCACTATGGCCTCAAGAGTGGGGGCAAGTGATGTAGGGATACTTGGCAGGCCTCAGATCGTGCCATGTGGCATTGACCAGATCAAATCCAGGCCGCATATCACCAACTGCTTCCAACCACTCCTAAGGCAAGGTTAGCTATAAAAGGGGATATTCATCTCAAAGTAAGCATATTGAGAATCCCAAGAGAATCATTCTTGGCTATTAAGGATTAAGCTATGAGCCCTTGTCTCTTGCTTGGTCCAACCCCTCTTAAGCACTCAGCTAATTTGACCGTCGGAGTCTCCACCCCTAGGATAACACCCAGGGCCTCTGACGTGTGCTCTTCTCTTGTTTACAGATCAAACCAGTCAGCCTCGAACACTAGTGAAATCTCCTTTTTTCCCTTGGCCTCATATTTGGCAGCAACAAAGGCAAAATGATTAAAAGATTGCAGTACAAATAATTTATTGTTGATTTAGTGTTTAATTTGTTCAAAGATAAATTGATATCTAAGAATTTAAGAAGGATTTTTTTAACTAAGAGATGTGTTTGGATGTTTGATGAAACAATCACACCTCTCTTCAAAACAAAAGCAAAAGTTTCATGATTAGAGGATATCACTTAAATTTTTCTTGGGTTTTCTAACAAGTACTTAAACTTCCCCTACATTTTTTATCTTCATAAAAATCTCCTTTCATTTTCAGATAAAGACACAAACACACCATCTCATTAATTTTCTTGATGGAAATGTTGAATAATGCTTTAAAGGTTTTCAAAACCCAATTTTTTTTGCATATAAAAGACTTTATTTTGATCACATCATATTTAGGGGCCATTTGGTAAGTCTATTTTGAAAGATCTTCTGAAAGCTATGACCTTGAAAAGACGACGTGAGTTTTTGCATCAAGATCTTAGTAGCTTAAAAATCATTTGGTTAAAGCGTGTCTATTCGTGCATATTTCCATACAAAGACGAATTGAAAAAAAAGGCAAAAAACTCTATTTAGAACTTCCCAAAAATAACCCGAAATTGGCTTCTTGCGTTTTTTCAAGGCTATAGCTTTCGACGGCTAGATCTTTCCCAACTAAACAGGAAAAGACCAAAACGCGGGCTGCCAAGCTTCTAAAAAGCTGTTAGCCCACGCGAAAAGATGCACTTAACAAAGCTCAAATTACCCAAAAAGATTATTCACTATATTTGAGTGGCTCTCATTGTTTAATTTATTAAGTGAGAAAACAAAAATCAAGTTTTGGGTTGAATTTAAACCTCTCCTAATATTGTCATTGTACATTCATAATGAAGGCATAATCATAATTTTAATGCCTTAATTAAGATGAGTGTTTTTGAAACGTGAAGAATAAGGGCCCGTTTGGCATATCTTTTTTGAAAGATCTTCTGGTAGCTCTGACATGTAAAAGACACATTGAGTTTTTGCATGAAAATCTGAGCAACCCGAAGCAAGTTTGGCAGATGCACGTCTTTCCGTGTGAGAATAAAATGCGAAAAATGCGAAAAGCTTTATTTGAAGTTTCTCGAAATCAACCCAAAATGAACTTCTCACATCTTTTTGACGCTCCATCTTTTGATGACTAGATCTTCCACAAGTCAAACAAAAATAGACCAAAAATCAAATTTTCTGACTTGTAAACAGCTGAAAGACTACACAGAAAAACACGACAAACGGGCCCTAAATAATCTCCCCTTTATAATCTAGTCTAGATTAAAATAAAGTATGTGTAAGATGAAAGAGAACAATATTTTTATTGGTTAAGAGGGACAATATTAACAATTAACAATATCTTATTATCTAAGCACACATTATTTGCATATTTTGATCCTCGCCAAAAGTGAAATGAGAGGGAGTGAGAAAGATAGTTTAGAAAAGCAATAATTATGGTAGATAGAGAATTACATAAATAACGACAGAAATCAGGTAATACACGTAACGTTGCAATGCTATAACATAGAGACGTTGCTACACTTGGCATGCAATATAAGACCGGAAGAGAACTAATCATGGATGTCCTCCAATTCCTCCCCCACCACCGAAACCTCCGCCACCTCCAAAGCCTCCACCAATTCCACCTCCAGATCCTCCTCCTACTCCACCACCAAAGCCACCCCCTTTGCCAAACCCCCCACCAATTCCACCTCCTGATCCTCCTCCTACACCACCACCAAAGCCACCACCTTTGCCAAATCCTCCACCAATTCCACCTCCAGAACCTCCTCCTATCCCACCACCAAAGCCACCACCTTTGCCGAAGCCACCACCTACACCGCCTCCTTTTCCAAAACCACCACCTACACCGCCTCCTTTTTCAAAACCACCACCCGCACCACCTCCAATTCCACTGCCAACTCCTCCACCCTTACCAAATCCACCGCCAGCACCACCACCTTTACCAAAACCGCCACCAACTCCACCACCCTTTCCAAAGCCACCACCGGCACCGCCACCCTTTCCAAAGCCACCACCGACACCGCCACCCTTTCCAAAGCCACCACCGGCACCACCACCCTTTCCAAAGCCACCACCAGCACCACCACCGACTCCACCTCCCTTTCCAAAGCCACCACCGACTCCACCTCCCTTTCCAAAGCCACCACCAGCACCACCACCCTTTCCAAAGCCGCCACCAGCTCCACCACCTGCTCCACCTCCAAAGCCACCACCAGCACCGCCACCCTTACCGAAACCACCACCAGCACCGCCACCCTTACCGAAGCCACCACCAGCACCGCCACCCTTACCGAAGCCACCACCAGCTCCACCACCTGCTCCACCTCCAAAGCCACCACCAGCACCCCCACCCTTACCAAAGCCGCCACCAACTCCACCACCCTTGCCAAAGCCGCCACCAACTCCACCACCCTTGCCAAAGCCGCCACCAGCTCCACCACCTGCTCCACCTCCAAAGCCACCACCAGCTCCACCACCTGCTCCACCTCCAAAGCCACCACCAGCACCCCCACCCTTACCAAAGCCGCCACCTATTCCACCACCCTTACCAAAGCCACCACCGGCTCCACCCCCAAAACCACCACCTCCACCAAATCCACCCCCTGCTCCGCCACCAGCACCAAACCCACCACCGAATCCAGTTCCCTTGCCGCCATGAAGGAACTTCTCATCATCATTTTTCACAGTGGAAACATCTTTAGCAAGAACACTCACTACAAACACGTTAAAACACAACAGTGAGAGTAGAGCTATCCTACGAAACCCACGAGTCATATTTGAGACCTTTTTGTGATAACTCGTTGGTATAGAATTTGAATACGGAGACTGTTTATATAGAGATCGATTGTGGGTAGTAACTGCATTAAATGGTTCCAACGCCTAACAGCAACACTTCGCCGCACATAAATGCCCACATTTATCACAGCGCGTGGTGCGGTTGGCTATCTGACATTCTGACTTCCAAATGCTCCATGTCTTCTTTTTTTCTTGTTTACAGTAAACTGTGGCCAGTTCAGAAGCTTCAAAATCTCACATGGCCACTTCCTTTGGATCTTTGGTTGAGTTTCTCTTTTGATCTTCAGCTCCTACATACTGTAGGCTTTCATATATCCGTGTCTGTGCACTAAGCAATATAATTGAATGTGAACTGTAATTAAATTTGACGTTTCCATGGCTCCTAGAACCTCTAAGCTAAGGTACCACTGACTACATTGTCTGATCAATGTAGACCCAAACAATCTCCACCATAACAGTACGGTCGAGGGTATAAAGCAAGTAGACAAGTACATATATAATCCCAATTGTTTGATATACAGACATCAGTGTTTGTCTCTACATTTATCTGGATTTCTGAATATTTGTAGGGTCGGTTTTGGGTCTGCATTTTGAGTTCTGGTCTTTACCAGTTCCAACTTCCAACCCAATTAAGACCCGACGCGAATGATTGGGTCCCTGCCTATTCAGTCCGCCCCTCCTAAGTATAATCAGGCTTTCTAATGGCATTTGTCAAGTATATATCAAAATGCCAGGCTATGGACTTATCAAGTATAATCAGGGCTTATTGGGTCAAGCCAGAGAGAAACCTGATGATCAATAATGGAGTTGGTTCTGGTCTTCTGGATTTGATACTTACAGGCCCTATAGAGTCAAGAGTACTGGGTCCGGATCAGGTCCATGGCCCGAACCATGGGCAGCCCTACTGGATGTTCTGTACTTGGCCTTACACTACTTATATGGCAATGTAGTTGTAAACCCAATTTAGATTAATCTACAACAGTAGTGAAGGATTGGATTCTTGACATTTCTGCTTGTAAATAGTATCTACGAATGACCCTTTGCCAATTGAAATGCTACAGTGGTAGGTGAAGAAAAAGAGGTCCATAAAGCAACTATTGTAGGTTTGTAAGAGATCTAGATCTTTAGCTGGACACCAACAACATGAGCCTGCACATATGTGTAGATCAATCATTCATGAACTACCATGACCCCACTCAAACTACTGTAAATAAGAAGAAATCATCTATACTACTATGGGGTACTTTCTGTCTCAGCCATCTAAATCAAGGTATAATACAACTGCGGGGGAACACATGGGGCGTAGGACAACTGGATGAAAGAAAGATTAGGGTTTCATGTGAAAATATGGAAAAAATGTAGGGTCTTTTCCCGCTTTTCCATGTGTCTGGTAGATGAAGAATTTAATGGGTTTTGAATTTTTCCCTCATTTTAGCCACATCCCCCATATATCGTGTTGATGGTAAAGAGAATTTATTTGTCTGAGAGGATGCACAGTTCATGATCTTGCAACGAAATATATGGGTCCTTGTCTTGTCCCTTTTTTGAGATTGATCTGCAGTTATTACGAAGTTTTTATCTTGATATATATCAATCAAAAAAGGATTGTTTTTACAGGATTTTCCTTTACTGTTATCTTCCTCTTTTCCAGCGCTAAGAGCATCTAGTGAACTATATATATGAACAACTTTGCATATTAATACTGAAGTTGAGATCTAGTGTTCTACCTTTAGAGTCACTAAGTTGAAGAGATTCTTGTCAACCCACAGTAGTAAATACTCTCCTGTCAACTAAGGAAGGGCTTACTGAAATTAAAGTTCATGGCAATATTCGAACTATTTCTAGCCCATTGATAGTTTGATACAGTAAATGGATCTTTCGGTAAACTACAGATTATAAAGATGGCCTAAAGATAGAACAGAATAAAAAAAGAAAGAGTATGAACAATTGACTAAATATGCTCTAATATAATGACATTTCTGTACTCGACTGTGGTCCATCATCAGCCTCTCATTAAGCTCATCAATCTCCAGACATTATATACAGACTATCCAGTCGTCTTCATCTTTAGTGACTAGGGACAATGTGACAGCTTCCTCGACTTCATTAGGTATAAAGTCGGAGATGTAACAGCTTCACCGACTTCATTGGTTTGAGGCGAGCATCCCCTCAGCCCTTGTTGCTGTGCAATGCTGACCGGAGCTGGCCGGAGGTGGGGGGGTTGAGGGATTTATGCCCATATATGGTGGGGTATATGGTAGTCCCTTTCCAGTTGGTCCTGGGTCATGACTCTTTTTCCTGCGTTCCCACTTGGTTTTTATTCTAAATAAAACATTAATTAATGGACATACCATACTCAGAAAATTGTAGGTTTATCATGGTTCAATTGGTCTATATTAAGAATGGTTACGATGGGGACAGGGATTTCCCATCCCCAACCCCACTCCCTGCATGCCTTGCCTTTTCTTATGATGTTAAATTCATTTTACTTTTTAATTAAAGAAAATAAAATAGTTACAATTTACAATTCTATCAAGGTAATCCAAATATATTCAGTTATATTCAACTATAATTTTTAATATATTATCACAAATTCATTAACTAATTCATGATAAAGAAACACAAATATTCAGTTTTGGGCCTCAAAGGCCTTAAACCCATTTTTCAAAAGGCCAAATGCATACATATACATGGGAATCCCTGTCCCCACCAATGAGGATGGAAATTTCCCCATCCCCATCCTAGGAGGGGGAAAATCATCCCATCCCTGTGGGGATTGGGGAAATGGGAAAAACAGCACGTAGCAGTATCTCTAAGACAAGTATTTATAATTCATGGGCAGTTTCTAAATGGTTATAAATTATAAGTGGGTAATTTCTGAATAGTTATGAGTGGATAGTTTCTGAACAGTTATGAGTGGGCAGTTTCTAAATGGTTATAAATTCACTCTTTTATAGATAGTATAGATATATATGGAAACAAAGTCATGGTGCATTAAGAATGCCATACTTTACTTTATTAAGGAATAATATACTTATGCCAAAAGATTTTTGCTTTTAAACTCAAAAGATTAATGTATGGGTGCAATTTATATTAGATGTACATACACACATATCATACATATTTATAATTTTAAGTTATATGATATTTATATAGGTAAATGTGCAAAAATATGTCAGATTTGAGTTGGGTTGGATTCTCCAAGGCCTCAAATCCTAACCCAGTCAAAAGATAGTCAGATTCATTTTTTCAACCCTAATTCTGAACCTGACGTGGTGACCTTCAAACCAAGCAAACCCAACTTTTTTGGGTTTAGGTTTAGACTAATTCAGCCCAAGCTGCATCCTACAAGGTTCAAAGTGTCTATACACACTATACACAAAAATGCTCTTAGATTAAAAAATTTTAAGTTTCAAGAATTGAACCAAGACATCTCTAGAAAGGGTATTAACCTTTAAAAGTAGCTGGATGTCCTCACCCCTAGAATGTAGCATATTCAATGGGTTCAAAACCCCATAAAAGATCACATCAGCGTGCATTGGAAACATCTCCCATACTTATCATCGGGAGTTGGAATGTGTTGTAGGGCATTAATGTTAACTCATAATTTAAGTCTTGGTCGATCAATTCTTTCATGCGGTGATGGGATCTGCTCCTCACAAATGGGCGCCTCACATGCACATCCACCGTGCATTGGGAACATCTCCCGTGAATAATAATAAATAAGTACGGGAGATATTCCCAATATATGATAGGATGTGTGTGGGAGGCGCCAGGTGTGAGGAGCAGATCCGGTCTCTTTCATGCTTAGCCTAATTAAGACTTAACCCATAATCTAATTATTTTTTTAAAATTGTTTATTACTTTGTCAAATCAGGAGTATAATTCATTCTAATTGCAACATCCAGAAGGTCTATAAACGATTTCCCCCCTTCAAATAAGCATAAAACGAATATTTAATAAAAAGATTTGTAACACTAATTTGATACATGGCCAACAACTCCATTAAATGGTTCGCCTTCTAGTACTCCCCAGTAGTCAATACAATGAACAGATATATGATGACATCAATTTGACCAGCTGAGCTATCCGTTGGTATTGGTACCGCCGGTTGTACCTTCGGTTAATAAGTGTTGCATTGGCAGCTTTATAACGTTGTACCTTGGAGCCACTGTATAGCGCATACAAGGTGCAAATTTAGATCATTACAGTTTGTGTGGTTGCTTCATTCTGACTTGGGTGACCAGGTTTCTTGGGAAGAGCTTTTACTGTGTATATGCAGAGATAAGGCTGCGTGTAGAAAGCTAAAAGTGAGAGGTGAATGGGGGTGCAATATTAGAAAGCTAAAAGTGCAACATTTAAAGTGAGAGGTGCAAGTTGCAATGCCAATACAGCAAAGCATGTTCTGTATGTAGGAATTGCTCTAGAACATAAATATTCGTAGTTGTGGAAAATAATGGGGACTAGACCCAAAATGTAACATACTAATTTACTAAGGCGCCTGTCTATATCATCAAGGTTTTAAAAAAAATGGAATCACTTTGGCTATCGGTTTCTGGGTCGTTAAATCAGTCTGATTAGATTGGAAAATTAGGGCTTTATTATCCTTCTTTTGTAAGAAACAATTCAAAAAGAGAGGAAGAGGAGGAGGAGCATCCGATGTTCACTGGTGATGGTGACGGTGACGATGACGGCGATATGACAACATAAAATGCAGCGGCAACTTTGAATCTCTCTAAGATCTCAGATTTGCAATATTTCTTCTCTTTCTCTCTCGGTGTGTCTCTGTCTCTGGGGGTCTAATCTCAGATGTGACTCTCAGTTTCTCCCCATCTCTGGATCTCCTTTCACCCTATAAAAACGCAAACCGCTGCGTGGGTCAAAAAAGTTGATGGTTTGACTGCCTGAGTCAGCGGTTCTCTAATCAAATCAACGATTTCTGGCCCAGGAATAGGTTAAGGACAAAATGGAACCGATTGCCTATAGTTTTCAAGCTGAATGGTCTGATCATCCGGGTCAATAATGATTCAAAAACACTATATATCATTATTCCAATGGCACAAGCACAAACAGAGAATTCTAATTAGCTGAACTTGATAGCTGTGTTAAGGGCTGTTTAACCAATAATAACGTTCCATGTCAGCCATGCATTTGATGGCCGATGTGAAGCATTATTATTGGTTAAACAGCCCCTAACACAGCTATCAAGTGCAGCTAATCCAGACACACAAATAGGATATCTCTTTATCTTTATCCGACTAGGAAGCCTTTCTCCTATTCTAG